CCAGACCTTCTGGAGCCACAGAGGCTGAATGACCACCCCCCCAAATATTGCCCTAATCTTTAAACCTTAAACAGAACATCTCCTTAACTCTTAAAACCAAACAGTAATTCAGCCTAACTAGGAAAAAATGTCTGCCTTGAGCATTATGCCCTTTTAAGCTCTATCTGGGATTAAAGTGACAACAGCAACTCAAAAGGTTAGATAAGAGCGTTAGGGAGCAGTGAATTTATGTTGATGGGGCAGAAACAACTCAGAAAAGGAGGGTGAGAATGGTTGCATGACTCCAAGAATGTAATCAATGTCAATGAATTGTGCACGCAGACTGTTGAGTTGGTTTATGTTTTGCTATGTATACACTCAACAAAATATTTTTTTTTACAGAAACGGTCAGTACAATACTTAGCACACAGTAAGCAACCAAAAAATACACTGATTCACCCTGAAGCTTATCAGATCCTTTCCAACACCAATTTCAACAGGAAGTAGCACTAGGGCAGAAGAGGGGAACGGGTAACAGAAGAGTTCCAGTGGAGGTGGTGGCAAGCGTGGGTGCTGGGCGGTGGGGCAAGGTAAGTTTCCAAAGGCAAGACTGGAGGACACAGCAAGCCGGCATCAACAAAGAAGCAGCTTCCGTTTTTCCCAACCCCCAGCCACCACCCACACTCAAACCTCAAGCTTTGTCCCATTCAACTTTATTTAAGTTGGTGTTTCAATGTTATCCAGAATTTGTAAATTTTAAGGTGATCTTGACGCCATCATTTCCAACAGTCTGGCTAGTTTTAATTTTTTTTTACTCTCATAGCACTGTGGATATTAAGGCCCTTAAAAAAAAGTTGCCACCAACTCAACTCATGGCACCTCTACGTGTGTCAGAGAAGAACTGTGCTCCGTACAATTCTCATTGGCTCGTTTTTAGAAACCAAGCCTTTCTTCCAAAGTGCCTCTGGGTGAACTTGAACCTCCAACCTTTTGGTTAGAGTTAAGCAAGTTAACCATTTACATTACCCAAAGAAAAAAACCCACTACTGTTGAGTCAATTCCATATAGGACAGCATAGAGCTGCCCCCCCGTTTCAAGTTTTCAGGACTGTGATCTTTCTGGAAGAAGGCCATTTCTCAGACTCAGCAGGCAGGTCTCTCCCCACTGGCAGGGACAGGAGATGATCACACTTTGGGAGGCAAACCCTGAGACAACATCAAGGCCCCAGGAGTGGTTCAGCAGTTGTTCTGGGCCTTGGGGCAAACACATGCTCTCTAAAACGGTCTGCTTCTCCTTTTCCCCTCTTCTTTCCATAAAGTCTACACGCCTTTCTCTATCCTCAGGTAGGGTGATTATAGTCGCACATCGGACATCTGTTTGGCCAACTTCTAACCGCATGTATGTCTGTGGTCCCTTAAATTTATAGTAGTTCAAAATCCCGATAGAACAGGATGTGACAGACACACTGGATGTAGGGAACACAACAGCTTCCTGCATGCAACACATGTATCTCATGTCTCTTGTACACAAAGTGATTATGCTGCCAGGTGTATAAATGGTACAGTAACACATAACCTGTAACAGGTAGGTCTTGATAGTTATCGAAATAAATGCCTATGTGACTGACTTATGTACTGTACTGTTTTCTATCTAAAAGTTTACCTTAGAACAGTGTACGCTTCAACTCCTAAGCAGCAGCATCCAATCTCATACTGTGCACATCCTGAGTGTTGTAATGCTGTTGCTGCTGTTGTTGTTGTTTGCCGTCAAGTCGGCCCCGACTCATAGCGACCCCTCCTTGGGTTTCTGAGGCAGTATCACTATGGAAGTAGGATTGCCCAACCTTCCTTCCAAGGAGTGGCTGGTGGGTTTGAACCGCCAGCCTTCTGGTGAGCAGCCAAGTACCTTAGGCACTACGCTACCAGAGCTCCCTACATCTATTTAATTTTCTTTGAAAAATATTACCGTAAAGCACATCTTGGCTCCCAAACGCAGCCAAACCAGTGCTAGTCACAGCAGCAGCAAGAGGCAAAAGAGAAGTATCGATTTGGAAGTGAAAGAAAAGGTTATTAAATAATAAACCAAAACCAAACCCACTGCCATCAAGTCGGATCCAACTCACAGCGACCCCTTCTTGGATTTCTGAGGCATAACTTCTACGGAAGTAGACTGCTTCGTCTTCCTTCCGAGTTGGGTTTGAATCGAGTTGGGTTGAACCCCCAGCCTTCTGGTTAGCAGTCAAATGCCTTAGGTACTATCGTTGGCAATTTAGGCATCTCAAACTCAGACAGTGACGATCCTCAAAAACAAAAAAATTCTCCAAGCTGTTAAATGACCAGCTCCACTGAAAGTGGCAAGGCTGAGGAAAATGCCAGAGGGACCTATATCAGATATGGAGAAACCGCTAATGATGTGGACTTAGAACCAAAGACAAAAGCAAATCCGTCTCAGCAGACAATCACTGCTAAGACATGAAGCTTGTTTGAGACGCTTAAAAAAAAGCAGAACAAGACTACGATACAGTGTTCACACCATGTCCAAATTACATAACGTCCTGAACATATCACAAACATGAAGAGATACATGACTGTGTAGGGACTGAGAGTATTAGACCTCACGGTGCTGAGGCTCAAATAAGAATTTTATCACACAGCATTCTATCAGTTAAGAGCTATACACATTATTATTTTCCATTGTGTAATCAGAAATTCTTTAGTGTGCACTGACATTACCTGAGGACTTTTAAGCTACAAATGATGCAGGCCATGCCATCAGAAGTCTAATTTAAACGTTGTTTTAGGGCCTTGGAACTGGTCGTTTTGACGAACTCCACTGGGTGTGTGAGAACCACTGTGCTGGAGCAGGCAGGGCTGTGGCTCCTCCCAGCACAGCACTGGGACATGTAACCCCAAGCTCCCCTACCCTTCCCAATCGCCCTTAGGAGTGGCTTGGCCGCACTTTGAACACTATCTAACTCACCCCTAGGTCCCTGGGGTGGTGCAAGGAGTCTGTGATCAGCTGCTACCTGAAGGTTGGCAGTTCAAACCCACCCAGCAGCTGTGTGGAAGAAAGGCCTGGCAATCTGCTTCCATAGAGATTACAGCTAAGAAAACTCTATGGAGCACCTGGGGTCACCATGAGTCAGAATCAACTGGTCGGCAACAAGTCTGGTTATTTTTGATAACTCACCCCTCAATAAATGCTTTGCCATCACATCCATTGAGGCCACAACTGGCAGTTGTGGCCCCAGTGGTGGGGCCACCAGAGAAAAGCCATGGCACTGAACCTGGAAAAACTGACAGAACAATCCATTTTCCTTAAGAACCAGCCTGGGCTTTACAGAACTTTAAAGGTGGCCTTTATATCTGAGCCAAACTTTTTCCTCACCGACTTGTACTCTAATCTATTTTCAAGGCAAACTGCCCTTTATAAAAACTTTTATGGAAATGAATCAATCTATTCAAAGTGAGTTTCAGTATCAAATCAAAATCCACGAGTGAAATGTCAAGCTGTAATTACTAGTGGAGTCATTTTAACATAAGTATTAAAAGTAGGCAGTGGCCCAGACATCAGCATTCAAACATTAAGCTAGAGGCATCTTCCTGACCCATAGCCTTCAGTGAATTGTGAGAATGTATGGAGTTTTTTAATATGAAGTAAAAAAAAAAAAAAATTGGGGGTAGGGGGAAATGCCACCATACAAAGACATAGTCCACAGAGGCCTGGAGTTTTGTCCGTTTTAATGACTGATGGATCTTGAGCACACAGAATATAGCATGGCATGTTATAGGTGCTCAATAAATTGATTCTGTAAAACATTCTTGCTATAGAGTACTTAAAAAATATATCAACCTAAAATAGCCAAACGAAAAAGGGATTTATAATTGGGAACCTTGTGAGATGCTTCAAAACCCTAACAGGGCCGTCAAGTTCAATCAGTGCTGTGTTTGATTCTGTGATGAGTAAAAGCAGTGCAGATGGCCGGTGAGATGGAGTTAAGTGACTTCTCGGGATTCCTTCCTTCAGTGGGTATCTGTCTCTGTCTTGCTCCAGGCCCTGCTCTAAGCACTTGGGAGCAGTGTGGACACCACCACGGAGCTCCCTCTGCGCTCAGTCTAGTGAGAATGTACTGTCAGTGTCCCCTGCAGACTGGAAACTAAGATCCGGAGGCAAAATAACTTGCCCAAGGTTAAACTACCAATGCCTGGGATGTGGAGGCACTTGTTACTACATGCCTGTTAGCTGGAGGGATGAACGATTAGCAGGCAGATGAGTTAAGATGGAAACCCAGATCTCTTCCCCAGAGGAGACTTCTTTCCACCTCATCATGCTAAACATCTCCCCAGAGCACTGCTGCCCATGCAGGGCTCCTGTTAACAGAGCACTCAGAACTACGAATACTGAAGGCCATTTGAAACACCATCCACCTCTCTCCCTTTCTTCTGTACAACATCCTCCTCCTTCTCCCCGGTTTTTTCTAACACAGGAATATAAACCAGAAAGGTAAGCATTCAGCGGAGAGAGGGAGATTATACCTTTCTACCTTTACCAGCTTCCCCCAAGATGAATCGAAACATACAGATGTAAGTAACACTTTGGAACAAGGACTATGATGTTGGACTGTAAACAGCCTATATGCAACCATTTTAAATCTAGAAAGCAGCAATTGCATGTAGTCGAACGTAAAGCAAATGAAATCAATCCACAAACAAGTCAACGGTCAGCAAGCACAGAGGAAGCTGAGACCCTGTAGATGATATTACTTTATTTTACTCTTACCAAAGTCCACATCGTACCACTGTCCACTGCCCGTCTGTCCCTTAGGTAGTAAAGAGCAATCTGAATCAACATTCAGTTAACGCCAAACAGAGACAAGTGAGGAGAGGTCGTCAGGGTTGGCTACTGCCCTGCACTCTGCACTGATTAAACGGTGCTGGCTGGGAAGAGCCCTCCTATGCAAATCTTCATTGATTTTCCCTTAACTACCCCAAATTATGCACAAAATGCAGTCCTTTCACAAGTGTTTATAAAGTATTTTTATTGGTTACAATTATATAAAATGTATCACTGGAATTCCCCTACTTATTAAGTGCTTGCTAGCAACAGCATAAAAAAAATCTTTTGTATACATCTGACAAGCTCAAATGCTTTATTATTTCATGCTAGAAGGGGCAAAAACAGCAAGCAGCGCTCTTCACTCGCCTAGCTCTAGCACTCTCTCTGAAGGCTACAGTGGTTAAATCAACGGACAACCCCTTTTGTATGTCAAATTGTCAATTTTAATGTTTTCATTAGAATAGTCTTTTATATCACTCTCCAACAAGAAACAATAAAATAACTAACAGCAAACTTCAATACAGGAACAACTCTCCAGATTAACAACTCAAACAAAACAAAAAGAATTTCATGTAAAATGTAAATCACATATAATACAATTGAAGTGTCCAAAACAATTTAAATAATTTTAAATATTTTATTTTTAAACTGCTACAAATGCTTTATACAATATTTCAACATAAAGTCCCCATAACAAAAATGTAACAAAATGGGAATGATAGTGAAAGGGTTAAAGTGGCACAAATTCACCAAACAAATATTAAACTACAAATTTTAAGAGGTAGATTACTTTTTAAAGTTGAGAACAAACAAACAAACAAACAAAAAAAAATAACGACATGAGTAAAAACCTAGCCATTTTCCACCAACTCAGTCATTAATTTTGGGGGGCATATAAATGCACGTAGAAATGGTATTTCTATTCTGAGGAAGGGGTCAATTTGTTGTTTTTAATCTCTATTAGAGACTGAACTGTAAAACCTGGTACAGAAATTCATTTGCATGTATGCACAGACATACACCCACACAGGCCTGGGAGTCCCCTGTGCAGTGATATATTGCTACATAGTATCTGATAATAGTTATAAATTAGTGCCAGATAATAAGCTGAGGATAATCTCCATTTGGATATATAAACATGACACTAGGAGAGACATAAAAAAAAGTCCATATCCAATCTGGTTTCCTCTCCATTATGCTGGCAATCCACTTGATAAAAAAAAAAAACAGGCAAGAGATAAGCGAAATGCCTCTCTGTCTACAGTTCACCGCAAAGAAAGGCATCAAGAGCTGGTGGTGTGTGACCAAAACGTTATTTAAAATGAGTGCATCAGATTTTGTCGTCCCTGAAAGCCACAACAAACTAGTGATAAAACAGGGAGCTTGCTTTGCAAGGTTGAGTTCGAATCATTCTTTGCTCTGTGCCAAACACAAGGCCACACTCAGAGCCGAGTTCCCAGTCCAGTGACGAGCCCGTCATCGAGCCCGTATGAGTGCACCCTCCTCTTTGGATCTCAATCACCTGGGCGCCCAGCATGGGTGTTGGGTGCCACCGAAGAAGCAGATGCCTGACTCTACCCAGGACAACAAGAAGCCTGCGGCAATCAGTTGTGTGTTAGGATTTGTGAGTCAGCTTCAACTGGTCTTGCAAGCTTGGCAGATTTCATATCCATTGCCGTAGTGCTTATCCTAAGTTGAGCATGCAATATCGTTATTTAGTCAATTAAGGTTTGTTTTGTTTTGGGGGCTTTTCTACAGGAAGTTCCTAGAAAATAAGAAAACTGAAGATAAATGACAACATAATATAACCTTAATATGAACTGACCATGTCAAATAAAAAAGTGAGCAGACCGTAAGACAAATGTTATTAAGACAGCGACATAAATGATTCAGTTTTTAGGGACCAAATCCCACTCGAGAGACACACACTGGGGGAGGCCTCACTGGAATGGTATGACGGAGATGGATATGTGGAAAACCAGGATCATTTTATTTTCAGTCAACTCATAGTAAATGAGAAAACTTGGTCTCGACTTTCATTTTGTGTCCCTGTCATTATATTTTCTTGACTGGCTGCAATGGGGACTCAGTCTACTAAAAAAAAAAAAAAAAAGAAAAAAGAAAAACCCACAATTGCTCAAAAAGGAGCATTAAGGAATTTATAAACACTCTGGGATTTACAGAGACAAAAAATAAGTAAGGTGAGTAGAGAATGTGCCTCTTTCCTTGACTCTGTCCTTCCACTGGAGCACAATGAGATAAACCCTCAACAACAGATCCAAATACAGTATCATTAATAAGTCTCAGGCAGGCTCTGATACTACCTTTGGCGGGTACATCATGGGTGCATCCTAACATGGGATCACTGTAAGACAATCTCAAAGATGGGTGAGATGTCTGATTTCTTTTGCCACTTTTCCCTAAAAAAGGATTTAGAGCACATCTCTTTCTTATACTCTGATTTGGCACAATGCTTGCACTCTAGGAAATGATGAACTAGCACATTACCCTAGGCCCTAGTGTCAAACTTAGAAAACTCTGGCTGCTTTCACGTGGCTGAATGCAAGCATATACTTGAGAAACCAGAATCCTAAATGGGCATTCAAGTGTAAAACGTCTAAGTGGGGACTAGCTCTCCATCCCAGTTTGTCGCACAGAAACGCTGAGGGAAAGGATGCACTGCCAGTTGAGTATGTCTTTGAGTATGCGGAGAGTACGTAGAGCGAAATCACTAGAAACTTGGGAGTTATGACAGCAAAAACTTCTAAACAAGTGAGAGATGTTAAAATCATCCCTAAATACAATTTTGAAGTAGAAATACACTGGAAAGGAAAGATGACTGTATGTAAAAGAAGTCCTTTTCAAGGTATTATAACAAATATATACTGAGGATGAGGCCCACATTGTAACAGCACTGGGCTGGACACTGATGACCAGCCACCATAGTTCCTAGACCTGAGTTAAGGAATCCAGGTTTGTACTCAATTCACTATGAGGTACACTAAGAAGACCAAAATTCTCTGAAAGAAATGTCTACTACTATCATGTCCAGATAGTCAAATATGATTTCCTGTTGGGTATTTGTTGAGTCCCAAAATACTTCAGAACTTTATGGTCGTATGATAAGCAGGCCCCTCTGCCATCCATTCATCTGCATTGTGTTCACAGCACAATTCCCGTGGCTCGCCCAAGGAGGAATGGCCTGAGCCATCACCTACCAATCAGAACAATACCGATGTTTTCTTAACTGATTCTTCCCTGTTTTCTTTTAGGCCAAATTTCACTCAAGCAATGCAACCCTTTGTTAATTATCAAACAAAGCACAATAATTAAAATGAACAGGACCAAAGAAGAGAGACACAATCTCACTGGGCTCTTTATTCCATTATGGTCTTAAGAGTTCTCCAAACAGCACCGGATTGGTAAGAGGCTAATTAAATGAACTTCCCAAATTTATAGTTACTCAGCTTTTAAGTGGTTCCTTTTAAATAATATCAGAGACTGAAAGGGATATACATCTAGTACCTTCTAAAGCATCAACCACCTGGGAGAAGCGGTTTAACACATTCCATGAGAATGATCACACATTCTCGTTCATAAGCAACTAGAAAAGGACTCAATGCCATAATGCCCTACTGTTGTGGAACCTCCAGGACCCAGACTGGGTACAAACAAGTACTCAGTTCAAGTGCTATAGGGAGCCAGCTTGGATGAATGATAAACAGGTGTTCCCTTCACTAGGGCTGACCTCCAGAGACCAGATGTTAAGAAACCAACAGAGTAACTGAGTGTTTAGC